TTTTATTCCTCGAAGTTTTTATTTTATTAAATTAAATATATTTTATTGTGGGTAACTTATGATATTGTTATTCCACCTATTATGTTAAGTATTTTGTTTAAGCTACTTATTCGACTTTATTTAATATTAATATTTTATTTTAATAAGTAAAATCATTAGTGTACGTAATGACCATATTATTTACATATACAATACATTCATTTGCGCTTACAGAGTCACTGCGCACGTTAAACCAGAGAATAAATAGTTCAAGGAAATGTTGGATAATCCTATCACTTCATGCCATATTCGCTTGTTTGCAGTCAGCGCCTTGCTGTACGTAGTAGTAGTAGGTAAATAAGTTTCTACAATTGTATGGAGTGTCCGTTGTGTGCAATCAGGGAAGACTACTAAATATAGCAAAAAAATAAACGCTTCTTTACCCAATTCATTAGGTGCTACTAATTTTGACGCCATGGATCTCAAAGCAAGCAAAGATGTCCCATTTAGAATTTCAACGATTGGTCCTGAAAGAAAAAATCACATCATTAAAACTTTGTTGAAACTAAAATTACTATATAAAGGTGCATGTTTCGTAATTACTAAAAGGACGTAACCTTTTTCTAACCAGTTTAATACAATTCTGTATCGATAAGTGTGGTAAAACTCCCTTATAGCGGCACTTAATGAGGCTATTTGTATTTCATATATTTGGCAAATAATCCCGTGTTTGATAGTATGTGTTGGCATGGTACTAGAATCGTTATTGGGTGTTTGATGTACTTAGAAAAATATTTGACGTACAGACAAACATGCAAGCACTGACAAATATAACCGTCTACACATGGAACCAAAAACGAGTAAATATAATGAATATGACCATAGTGAGGACGGTCTACTCGCGTATTTGCCTATTCGGCTCCTTTGATGTGCGTCGAGAAACCGACCAGTGCACAGTAACGCGAATTTGGTGTTTGCTGTATTTGTCGAATAGGCAAACAAGGCAAATATTTTGTTACACATGCCTATACTATAATCTATACATGGTTTTTTTGTTTTTGTTTGCCAATTAAATTAAATACAAATACTGCCACCTTACCTATTTCTGCCGCCAAGCAGTAATGTCAGCATTATTGTGTTTTCGGTTTTGAAGGGTAAGGGTGCTGGTGAATTTACAGGTACATGGGACTTATTAACTTATGTCTGGGGGTGAAGGGCGCAGTGGCAGTACCCTTCAGCTTTTTGTGATTTAAAGCTCTGAGTGGCACTGCAACTGATAACACATAATATTACATAATATTATAAAAAAGCCATATTTGCCTATTCGACAAATACAGCAAACACCACTGACGAGCTACATAATGCTTGTTGGTTTCTCGACGCCCATCGAAGGGTCAAATAGGCATATTCTCATGTAAACACTCCACACTATGGTCATATTCATTATTTTACCTGTGACACTAGATCACTAATAAATCCTCAATCCAACTCGAAATTCTTCCACAACTCTTTCACGGTAAGTGCAACTCGTATGTGGTATAAACTGCCTGCTGGCATTCGTGACAGTCCATCGGTGGCATCTTTCAAACATAAATTAAAAGAGCACTACCTGTCGAACGCGTGTTGTTTTTATTCACATTTAAATTTTAATTTTATTGTACAATAATTAGTCCCGCAGACTTCATTTTTCACCTAGGCTAGGGTTGGCTGGAAGAGATCTCTTCTAGAGACAAGCTCACCTTTGTATATGTCCTTTATAACTCGTGTTTCATGTATCTTTTCTTTGTGCAATAAAGAGTTATTATTATTATTTTATCTCTAATTTATTTCCATGTGTAGACGATGTAGGTCATATTTGTCAGTATCTGGGCATCAAGTCTGCTAATTTTAAATCATCTCAGTTCTTTTTCTTTTTTTTTTAATAATTACGCACACACTTAACATTTTGTCGATAGAGTGTCAATGTTAGGATTTGGTGCATTTGGTATTCTGCTAAAAGTTACGAGTGGCTTGTCTCAAGTTACTGTTCATTTGCCATTGTATTTTTGTGTAGTCTACTAATTATTTTAGATTAAAATACATTTAATTTGAACATTAAATTTCTGATCAAACGAGATAAAAATTAAGACATGCAGTAATTTCCTTGGTAGTTTTAATAAGGCAACATCGAACGTTAGTGACTGAATGAATGAATGCCATCATTTCCACTCTCCCAATACTCTATAAGGACTCAACTGCGATTGCAACGGGCTTAGCAGAATAACAAATATTATCACAATTGAGATTGATTATAATCTCTGTGTGGTATAATCCCAATGGAATTACAATGTCTAGTGGTTTCAATTAAATTGGCAGACTTTGGGCATGTTTATCGTACGTCAAATGTTTTTCCAAGTACACACGAATACTAATACAAGTACACATGAAATAGGGCTGTCCGCCCTGTCAAGCGCCGCCTTAAGGCTGCATTTCCACAAGAGATGTGCGAGGCGGGATGCGAGCAAAAAATCCAATAGGATTACTTAATTTTCCTAGCCTCGCATAGCGCAGCTCTTTTTTTTTTTTTTTAATAAATAACGCACACACTCTACATAGCCCCGCACTAGGGAAACCCTGTGTCGCGGGTGCCATGGACACACACATAGACAACCACAAATTACACCCAAACTCACGAGAGAAATAATTGTAGGCCATACAACTATTTCTCTCGGCCCGGGAATCGAACCTGGGACCTCCGCGTGGCAGTCCGGCATGGTAACCATTCGGCCACGGAGGCAGTTTCAGAGGAAGTTTCAGCTCTGGTGGAAAAGGGTTAGCGGAGTTCAGTTTTTGTGCATAGTAAAACGCGAGAGATGTGTGCTAGGAAGGTGTGTGAGGTACGCGTACATTCACCCCACCACACCACACCGTACCCCACACGTGCACAGCTGACAAAAATCCGATAGTCCATCTTCGCACCGCTCGACTACAAACCGTTTTACAGCTTCCCTACGCATCCTCGCACCGCCTAGCAACCTCGCATATCTTTGTAAGGAACCGCAGACTAGGCGAATGACAGCTCAGTGGCATTGATATTGTTTTTTTTTTAAATATTGTTTACGGCTCATGCGTGTGTTGATCTTTACACTTAGATTGTTGGGCCTGCTTATCTTATTGCCATAGAGTGGAATTATAATTTATAATACACTTAATTATAATTTTAAAGTTCAATATGCCTTTATCCATAAATTTTACACGTATTTTGCAAATGTACATTACTTATTTTATCAAGAAATAATCTGTTTAGAATATTTTAATCTGCGTATAAAAAGTGAAATAGCATTTTTAGCATTATCTTAATCTGTCCTATGACGTATAAGGAAAGTCACGAGCAAAACTAAATAAACAATATTCCTATTGAAATATACATGATGAGTTTTTAATCACCAGTAAATTTTTTCCGAAGCGTTACTAAAAGATTCCATTTTTGAAAAAAAAAATGGGTCGCACGTATTCGCGTAATAAAATAATTGTAGGAATGAATTGTCCCTAAAGAATTGTTATTTTCGTTTTGTAACGGGGCGTGGGGTCGCGGGGTGGGTCTTGGTGATAACTAGAGATGGGTCGTCGATGCGTTTTCCGTTAAAGAAATGTCCACACTCGACGGTCGACTAGTCGATCTACTAGTTAAATTCGTCAACTAGTCGATCGAACTTAGGTTGATTTTCGTTCTATAGACGATTAAGGAAATGGTTAATTGAATCAACTAAGTAGGTTTTAAGAATATCAACAATGATATTAGACAATTTTTCCGGATTTAAAATCACGTAATTAGCCTCTATCTCGCACTTACGATTTAACTACACCGTCGTCCTTTTTCTACATTGAATGCAATAATAACTAGCATAAATAGGCATATCTTACTTCATCGCAAATATCAACTTAAATGATCACTGAATTTAAAGTTCGAAATAGTTTGTCTACGCAAGTCTACGTTTAATTCGACTAAGTTCGCGCACGGTTTCGTCGCGTGGAGCGTTGATTAACGCATGGACATCCGTTTAGCCGTTTAGGAATTGGACTATAGTTAACGAATCAACTAGTTAATCGCAGAACGGTAGACTACGGTCTACCGTTTCTACGGAAACGTCAATTGGACGTGAATAGTTAATTTAACTAGTTCATCCATTCAACGCCTATCACTAGCGTCAACTTCCATGACATTTTTTGCATTGACAGGTAGGTATAATTTTTTTCTTACTTGCATTTTTGGATTGCAATTAGAGTGAAATGCTTTTGCTTTGCTACATACATTTTATTATATACGAAAAATGGTCTTTCATAATTTTAGTAAGAAAAATCCTAGAACACATACCAATGTAGAACACTGTGGCAGTAGTGGCGAAGCCGTAGAAGAAGCACGCCATGATCTTGCTAACAGACGAGATAATACCCAGGAGGGAGTCATGCCACTGCAAGTATTTGCTAAGCACTAGTATGCAGAATATGGTACCTGAAACATGTTTAGAAGTTATGATTATGTATAAAGCATATACACATATCGTTTTGTATTCATCATCATTCTCATCATATACTGGACGTGAGCCTCCTCCAAAGATCGCCACAGCAATCTTCGACGGTCTATATTGGGTTGATTTGAGTGGTGAACTTGGGTGGATTTCCTACACTGCGTCTTTCGGTTGGTATTGGAGAATTTTTCGGTCCCATCGGCCATTTCTTTACGAATAACGTGCCCGGCCCACTTTCAATTTTTGATATTGTTTTGTGTAGTACGATTCAAATTCTTTGAAGATGAAATTTCAAATTAACGATGTAAGGATGTTTCATAATAGACTGGTTGCTTTAACAAATCAAGGCGACCAGTTAAAGTAGGCGATTGCACGCGCGGCCGGCCAATTAATCTGGTCGGTACCTTGTTTTGTTCAACGAATCAAGCCTTCGAGGCATTCGCGTTTGGGTGTCCGCTTTATTGACGTCAAAAATCAATCAGCAATTATGACTCAATTTTTGCTGTCTACGATTAATATTCTAATTCAGCTGATCCTCGAGTTGGGTTTTCTATATCAAAAACCAAATCATTTTTGCGAGGTCTTCGTAAATAATAAATTTTTTGTTCATGTCAATAACTAAATCTTGCTTTTATTAGCTCGATTGGTGCAACAATCGCAGTTCCCAATCCGACAAATTAAAATAGTGAAAGCCTATGGATGTAGAACTATCAAAAGCACCTTCTTTTTAACATTAACACAATGTAATAAGAATCAAAATCAATAATTACATGCTTACCGATAGTATGCGTGATGAAGTTGTAAGTCTGGAAAATACTAAAACTGACTTCGTCCCAGTTGAAGCGAAACCTTGTATTCAAGTACAATATGCTTATTTCACCTGAAATAAAAAAAGAAATGTCTTAACCACGATCTCGAAACAAGTAGTAAGGGAACGAGAAACAGATGGCCAATAACCTCCAAAACAAATAAGTTATATTGTAATAATTCGTGTAACCTTGGAATAACTGGGAAATCAAAATTTCAAGAGGGAAGAAGCATAAATGACTTGTTGATATACTTGGTTTCAATTTTTTTTACTCGTTCAAGCGTCTATGCAAGGGTTTGGTATTCGACAAACAAAAGGATTTTTTTGCGTAAGCAAACGTCAACAGTTTAAAAAATAAAAGCTATTAACAAAAACGTACAAAAAATCCCGTCAATGAATACCTACAAACACCACATTACTTTTAATTTATGCAGAAATAAATGACTTTTGAATTAATATAAAAAAAAAATATTGAAAATCTACGGTGCTAACATATGACAGGACAATAAAATTTTGACATGAAGCTTATTTTTAATTGCGTGAAAAAAATTAGGTTATTGTTAGACTTTCTGTTTAAATAAATATTATCAATTTATCACACTTGTGCGCGAGCCTGCTTGGTTAGCTGTAGTAGGATAAGACCGAAATCCTTCTCTGGGTGATCAATAATAAATAGAAAACAAAAAAAATATTTTGCACTAACTAAAAAATCCATTCCTTTTATAAAAATACATTTTTTGTAATAATTAATATAAAGATCGAACACTTAGAAAAAATTCCTGCGATCTGGCCGGAAGCCACGAAACGTACCAGCGAACCTCACGAATTTTTCCATGTGCTTGTTGTTCGATCTTTGTATTTGGTTTTCAGCGACTTGTTATTGACTTGTGACAACGGATGTAGCATGCACACCTAAATAATACCTATTTACTCTCGTCTTGAAAAGGTCCAAGTTATAGCGTTCGGGGAACAAGTTTGCAGGCAGGGAATTCAAAAACAGGGAAAAGAAAATCAGGGAAGCGAAACGCTTCGTGCGAATTCGGGGAACATCCACAAAATAGGGGTGGAACCCCTGCTCACTAGTCTCCCGATGATGGAAAGGGGAAGACTGACTCAAATTGTGCAATTCCATCGCACACTCTCCGTGATATATCCTGTAGAATTCGCTGGCAACTCTACGACGGTGTTCGAGGCTCGGCAGCTTCGCCTCTACTAATTCCGAGTCACGTAGAAGCCTCTTAGCACGCTTGTCTATTAAATCCAAGGTGGCCAGTTGTTATTTAGTAGAGCCATCCCATAAATGGCAGCAGTACTCCATACAGGACCGGACTTGTGCTTGGTACAGCTGAAGCAATTGTCCCGGTGTAAAGTAACGCCTCACCTTGGAAAGGATGCCAAGCTTCTTGGTTGCATTTTTGGACATGGATTCAATGTATCTGCCGAAGTTCAGATTGGACGACGGAGAGTCACCGCACTTATTAACGCAGAATCGTATTAAGCCGATCAGAAAAAAACTTTATGTCCATGAACGTAAGAGCGAAAACGTGATGCGTTTCGCATCGGTTCGACACAGGTCGGCAATTAATCTGGGGGTCGATTCAGAACCGTACGAGAACTCAGTTGTCGTAAAATTTATTTTCATTTTTATTCACAATACCCGAATCGAACGGCAAACTGTCGTATTCGAAACCGAACCGATGTGACGTCACACCCGTACGATTACTCGAGCTTCTCGACCGGCAAAGGCTACAAACGTTATTCAGAACAGTTAACTAATAAAAGTTACCGAACGTCCTATTGTTTACGAAGCAAGAATGGAATATGGAAATCTCTTATTATTTTGAATGAAGTCTGGATTTTGTTCAATTTTATTAATTTGTTTGAATGCAAGACTAATGCATTCCTATAATTTAGGCCTTTAAAGTCTTAAAAATGTATACATATAAAAGGATTTTCATTTTTCTTATAACATTTCTCTGCTAACTCCGTAAACGCTGTTGGATAACGATATCTTATCCGAATTTTGAACGTTTAACTCGGAATTTTCTGAATAGCTCGGAAAGCACCCTTCGATTCGAGAACCATATCCAGTCGAACGATACGGTTAAAATATCGCAGAGTTTTGAATCGGGGTTTCTGGGTACACAGAAACTCTCGTTCTCGGCTCGACATCCGTCCGAAACAATAAACGTCATATAAATAATATTCGACCAAATTAAAAAAATAATGACATGTATGAAGCTTTATTAGCATCATGCACCTTTCAATTTGGTTGAGTGTTATTGATGTCGGACGGAAAACAAGAGTACAGGGCCTGCTTCGTGCCAATATCCGATCGCGGTCGTACGCATGCCGACGACACGCTGGCTGATCTTGGTTTAAAAAAAAAACAACTGGCGCACTAACGGCCGAGTTAACAGCGAATCGGCTTAAGGCGTTTAAACACGATGGCACCAAGACGATACCGCGTTAATAAGTTTGGTGACTCCCTAAAGCAACACAAACCATAGCGAAGTACACATATTTTTCTATAAATCAACCACTCAGGTCATAGATATGACATTATTAGATTGACACGCTATCCGATCTGATGCGTGGAAACTATAGGTCTCGATAGACCTATCTGAACTTAGTCTGCCATTTTCGCTTTGTAGTATGGTTGTGTTATTCTTTCGTGCAATTTCTGTTTTGGAGTGTAAAAATGATAGCCGCACCAAATATATTACCCGTGGTGGTATTTTATATAACGGGATTATTAACGGGGTATTTATTTTATAACGGGAACGCAGGGCGCTGGCGGTGCGGGGTAGTGTGTAATGCTGGCGCGCAGATTCACTCGGTGTACAGCCGCAGTCAAAATAACGCTATTCAGAGCATACTGCACTTCGCTGTACGCGGGTGCGCTGTGGTGGAGCTGTTCGCAGCGCTCGCTCGGTAGGCTGCGCGTCCAGTACAACAATGCCTTCAGGGCGCTGTTGGGGCTGCCACGTTTCTGCAGTGCGTCCACCATGTTTGCCGAAGCGCGAGTGGATTGCGAAAGAAGATGGCTTCGCTTTTGACCAGAATACGTGGCAGCACTAACAGCCTTCTGATGATGATAAGATGTGAGTGCTCAATAATGCAACACTTAATTAATAATACTTTGTCTTGTGTAAAATATGTATTCTAACGTAGTCATAAGTAAAATACTAACAAAATGTGGATCTAGTTGTCTGAATAAATGAATTTTATTATTATTATTATTATATCATCGGAAAGTCTTATTTTAATCAATTTTTAATTTTTTGCTTTACGAAATATTTTTTTGTTACAAGTAATGACAATAAAGATTAAACCCCTGCAATATGGTCGCTTCTTTTTTGGAGAACTAAATTAATAACTCCAATTCGTCGTCGTTCAGCAATTAACCGCTAGATGGCAGCACATTGATTGAAATTTCAATATCGAGGCGTAATTTGCAATAATAGCTATTGATAATATTTCAACGATATGACAACAGGGAAAAGTTTTAACTATATTGACAATCCAGGATTTGTTATTTCTTTTTACATTTGAAACTACGACCAAGATTTATTATGTTTCAAATTAAGAATGCGTGAGTTTTGGCGAAATCGGTTCTGTTAGTAATTTTAAAATTATTTTTTTCTTCCGTGGTTTTTACACTTTGGTTGGTCATGATGTTTTTGTTTTACACTAGTTCACTTTATAAGTTTACTTTTACGCCTTTGCTACGCCAAAGTATCGATTTAAAAATAAAATACTAAAAACTGAACTTAACAATCTCCGTAATTCAATGAAACGTCTAACTGTAAGTTTATATACATGTTGTAATTGTTCGATTGTTTCATAAATATTAGAATGAATAAAATTGTCATTTTGTTTTAAATTCTTATAGACTCAGTTTCTTATAAGAATTATTTTATTGTATGACAAAAATCGGCAGAAGTTGATCAAATTTAATAAAATGTTATTCATACAAATATGAAAAAAAACTTTTAATTAAATTTGACAACTTCTGCTGTTCCGATTTTTTTCATCCCATACAATGAAATGATCCTTATATGAAACGAATGTCATATTAAATGTACGGGAGAGTTTCATGTTAAAATTTTGGATATTTCTTTTTAAAGTTATTGATGTCGATTTCGTTACCTTTCGCTTTAAACTGATATAGAAAATACGTTTACTTTCTATATCTGTTTAAAGCCTTTTGATATCTCTTATATTTATGGAATAATCACCTGGGCACACTTAACAATTACACTCTGTATACAAAATAGATTAATTTCAGTTGGACTAAATACGATCTTATTGCAGAGATCCATAAGAAAGGTAAACAAAAGGTTTTGTTTCATGTTTTAGTAGTCATGTTTCGACAATGTTCGAAAGAGAACACAGGCGGATGTTGAAAAACAGCAATGCCCTGACGTTTTTATTACTAGAAATTCGTAACTCCATAGGTCAAATGCAGAACAAAATTTTTTTATGATTATCAAGTGACGGGACGAACAAATCATGCACCTGGTGGTAAGGACATGCCTTTCCATAATAGTTATAATGCCACTTAAAGCTTTCAACGCATAGATCTGATGGGCGCTATCAACCACTACGCCCATCACCCTGAGGCATAGAGTTTTCAAGTCAATAAAGTTGTTTCTAATTTAAAAAGAAGTAACAAATTCTGGACTGTTAATATAATTTAAACTATACCCTGTTGACATGTCGTTGAAAGTTCAATATCTATTATTGCTAGTTACGACTTTTTGATTTAATATTGCAATGTCAGTCAATGTGCTGCCATCTACCGGTCAATAGTTAAAAGACGATGAATTCGAGATATTTGCGTAGTTCTCCAAAAAAGAAGCAGCCATTATTGCAGCGGTATACGGCATACTTTTGCATCTTGTAACAAAAGAAAATACGATGAACATAAAAACTTAACGATAGCGCGTTGATATGAAACACTATAGAAAATATTACAAGTGCGACCATCATTTTTGCACTGTGAAGTCGCATTTTTCTACGATTTTCGAGGTTTCACGCGAGTCAATTGACACGATGATAACGTACAA